CCCCAGCTCCCCAGCAACTCATACACACACACACACACACACACACACACACACACACACACACGAAGAAGAAGAAGAAGAAGAGGAAGAGGAAGAGGAGGAGGAGGAGGAGGAAAAGAGATTCTTACATGAAGATATGAGACCATTTTATTCCTTTTTTTTTAAGAGAGAGAGAGAGAATTTTTTAAATATTTATTTTTTTAGTTTTTTGGTGGACACAACATCTTTGTTTGTATGTGGTGCTGAGGATTGAACCCGGGCCGCACGCATGCCAGGCAAGCACGCTACCACTTGAGCCACATCCCCAGCCCCCATCTTATTCCTTTTTTAAAAGTGGAGCAAGCCAGGCACAGTGGCACATGCCTGTAATCCCAGCAGCTCAGGAGACTGAGATAGGAGGATCGCAGGTTCAAAGCCAGCTCAGCAACGAGTGAGGCACTAAGCAGCTCAGTGAGAACCTGTCTCTAAATAAAATACAATATAGGGATGGGGATGTGGCTCTGTGGTTGAATGCCCCTGAGTTCAATCCCCGGTTACCCCTCCACCTGCTCCGCAAAAAAAAACCCAACTGGGGAGACAGCCTAGGAGTCCTGTGGAAATCATTCTGTTTGGAAAGTGGTCTCTTTCTTGAGATTTCTCTGGTTCAATCCATCTACCCTTTCTAAGGAAAGAATGTGAATTCCTTTCAAGAAAGATAAATGAAAATGAGAAGCCAAGAGAAGTTACTTTGATCCCTGGTAGAGAAAATATTGGGTAAGAAAAGGGAAAAAAAAAAAAACTGGCAATAAGAACCCTGTCCATTTATTCTGGAAAGAGTGGCTTGTTTTCTGAAATAACTTTTGGACTAGAAATTTATCATCTGAAGTCAGGTCATTTTGAGTTTTTTTGTTTTTTTTTTTTTTCTTAACTAAAGGAGTCAAGTTATTAATATTTGAAAAATGGCTACTATGTGATGCATAGAATAATATAATTCTCCTACCTAAATTAACATCATTGCAGGCTCCATAATAAAGATTTATGAGATACTCATTGTGTGAAATGCTATTATGGAAATCTCCATAGGTCTGTGTTTGGGTTATAACTGGTTTTGTGGTTATGAACCAATTAAAAGCCCGAGTATTTTCCTCTCTTTTACACTCCAGTCTTGTCCCATTTTCTTTTGCCCTTAAACTAGAGCCACCCATTATTCTTCAACCTGTCTGTGTATTGTAAAAATGAAGAGATAAGGAAGTGCTGCCTACTCAGGTTGGCTATCTAGGCAGACCATTTTCCTTCAGAGCATCCAACATGGTGAAACAATTTATCATTTCTTATTCGTAAATCACTTTGATCCTTTATCTCAAGTTGATCGGTGAAGCTGAACATAAATTCTGGTTGTAGTATCCATGTTCTTATCTACACCCAGAGTGCTGGAGGACCTTATAAAAACATGTGTGTCTGTGTCCATGTGTATCTAATAAAATTAGAATATCACAATCAGAATATCTTCTCTGCTTCTAATGTTAAATTACCAGGTTGTGAGTTCTCTTCAGTGTGACTTGGCATAATAAAAACTATACACTTGATCAAACCATTCATTCTCTTAATCTGAGGTTGACCTATCTTGGACTAGAACATTTGCTGGTTTGAACTTGTTAGGGCTGACCCTGGCACAGATGTGTTGACCTTTAACAGTTGCTCATTGGCTGCCCTTTATCAAACCCCCTGCTATGGCAAGTGACTCTCAGGACTCTTGTTCTCTTTTAAAATTATATCATCACTTTTAACATTTGCCAGTTGTCATTATAAGTGTTAAATTTGTACAACTTATAGTATGCAGATGTATTCTACACACTTGATCCTATGTAATCTTCACAACTGCCCTGTGAGGTAAGTTTTAGTATTTTTTATATTGTTTCCCTTATTAAGAAGATTGAGACCCAGAGAAGCAAAGTGAATATGTCCAAGGTTACACAGCTAGTGGCAGGACTATATCCCTGGCCACCTAAGTCCTTGATGAGTGTCCTTTCTACAACACAATAGCTGGAGTTTAACTTTCAGTGTCATTCAGCTTAACTCAGTGGTATTTGATAGACTTTTCAAAGACTGAGGAGTTGGAACCCTTGAACTTTCAGTCTAGCAGGCAATGTGATATTGAGTAAATTATTTAAACTGGCCAAGAGGTTAATGGCGCCATGTGTCAGATCCAACTCCTATACAACTAAATTATGGCTAGTATAGAATTTTTAAATACCTGGTGACACATAAACATGAAATATTGCCAACAGTACATTACAGAAAGAATTCATGTGATTGATGAACATATAGGATTATATATTACACTGCATGTGCTAAGACTTTGAGAGCTTTCTAAAGATAGTATTTTCTGAAAGATATATGATTGAACTTGAACTCCCCTGGGGACATCCATTTCAAGATCAGAAGTTTGCTTTTTAAAAAAAAGAAAGAAAGAAATGCTTCATGTAAAGCATTTTTCAAACTCATCAGGTAGATAGATACGTACATACTTATTTCCATAGCACTATTCAGTGATAGCGAGTCTTAAGTATAATGAGTCCAGTAAATGAGAAGGAGATGTCCTTGTCCCCTGAGACTCCCTTTCTTTTCTTTTTAACATCTATTTGAATGGAAATCAGAGCATGCTGCTTCTCAGAACTGGGGACCCATCGGCATCATCCTAAGAAAATGTACATTTTTCTTTTTAAGTAAAAATAAGTAGAAAATCCTTTTTTTAAAAATTTGCTCCTTTCTGAATTACTCTTAGAAACAGGCAGTGTCCACACTATGGAGAGTGCTTATTGCTGGGAGACTTTGGTATCTGAAATGTGGTGGTGTCCTGCTGAGGAGGAAGAACACAGCATACACTGTGAGCAGGGTCATAAGGGGACCCCTGACCAGGCTATGATAGCCTGTGCACTGGCATGAGAGACTGTCTTCCACAATCAGCCTCTCTATCTCATGAGGATAAACCCATTTGGCTGGTGATTTTACTTACTTTTTGCTTTTCTAGCCTTTGAGACTAAAAATACTTGTTACAGTATATGGGACTCTTGGCTGATGTTTTGATCCAAAAACTGCCTTGATCCATAACCACTTGATAAAGTTCTTTTTCAAAGCTCTTCTGCCTGAATATTGGGCATTAAATGAGACCTGTTTAGAGAAAGTATAAAACTCAGAATCCTACCGCTGAAAGTTGGTTTTATTCTGACAAGGTCAGACACATGACTCTTTACCCCTACCCTGCCAATGAACTGTGAGTGCCAGAGTTGTGACCATGACAGTGACTGAAAAGTTAAGAGAGCCTGGCTTACAGGGCCAACCGTATGTCACACTCCTAACCAATAAAAAATTAACATAAAGGATGATGGATTATAAAATAAGGTATCCTGGCCTACATTAAGAGCCACGTTTGGCCTGCTTTATAAATCTGGGCTGTAAACCACTATGGAAAGTAGGTAAACCACTGGGCTGTAGGTAAATCTGGGCTGTAAAGTAGGTAAACCTGGGCTGTAAACCACTATGGAAAAACCCTTTGACCACTTTTCTCCATGCCTCCCTCCCTCTACTCTACTCTCCCTAGCTTCTGGTAACCACTGTTCTCTCAACTTATGTGAGATCAGTCTTTTTAGATTCCACATATGAGTGAGATCATGCGGTTGTCTTTCTGTGCCTGGCTTGTTTCACTTAAATGATGATCTCAGCTCCATCCAAGTTGTCACAAATGACAGAGTTTTGTTCTTTTTTATGTATTTACACCACATTTTCTTTTCATTCATCAGTTGGTGGACACTTAAGTTTCCATTCCTTGGCTATTGTGAATAGTGCTACAGTGGACATGGAAATACAGATGTTCCTTTAACATTGTTGATTTCATTTTTCTCCCATTCTGTAGGTTGTCTCTTCACTGTTGTTTTTCCTTTGCTGTGTGGAAGCGTTTTAATTTAAAATAATCTCATTTGTCTGTATACCTATTGGATGCATACCCTGGAATGGGATTGCTGAATTATGTGATGGTTCTACTTTTCATTATTTGATGACACTTCATACTGTTTTCCATAATGGTTGTACTCATTCACATTCCCAGCAACAGCTGGGTTCTCTTTTTTCCATATTCTCACTAGCACTTATCTTTTGTCTTTTTGATAGTCATTCATTCTAACTGCAGTGAGGTGATATTATGGTTTGATTTGCATTTCCGTAATGATTAGTGATGTTGAATATTTTTTCATATACCTATTGGCCATTTATATATCTTCTTTTGAGAAATGCCTATTTACGTCGATTGCCCATTATTAAATTTGATTACTTGGTGGAGTTTTTTGTTGTTTATTTTTAAGTTGTATTTTTATTTATTTTTGCTCTTAAGTTGTTGCATTCCTTATACAATCTGGATATTTGCCACTTGTCAGATACATCGTTTGCAAATATTATCTCCTATTCTGTAGGTTGTCTCTTCACTGTTGTTTTTCCTTTGCTGTATGAAAGTGTTTTAGTTTAAAATAATCCCATTTGTCTGTTGTTGCTTTAGTTGCCTATGCTTTGGGGATCTTTCCAAAATATTGTTGCCCCTTTTAAAATCCTGAAGAATTTCCCCTGTGTTTTCTTCTAGTAGTTTCAGGCCTTACATTTAAGTCTTTTATCCATCTTAAGTTGATTTTTGTAACCGATGAGAAATAGGGGTCTAGTTTCATTCTTCTGCGTGTGGCTATCCAATTTTCCCAGCATCAGGAAAGAGACCCTCAGCCTACTTTGAGGGGTCAGTGTGAAGACTAGAAATAGTACATAGAGTGCAAAGCACAGTCTTGTGTGTAGACAGCCATGAGAAAGTGTTACTACCATTATTACTGTCACTCAGCATGGAACTTCTAAGACCTTTTCTGAAGACTCCACTGTTTGTTCCTAACCAAGTTAAACCTTCCAAGTTAATCCTTTTCAGTACATCGTAAGTCTGGTTGTGAAAGTGTGGGTCTCATATTATCTTGCTTGCTTTCTTTTTTCAGATCTGTAAGAGCAAAGCTAAAGAATCTCAGCAGTATTATCATAGCTTGGCTGTCCGGCAGAGTCTGGCTGTTCATTTTAACATCCAGCAGGACTGTGGGCATTTCCTTGCTGAAGTCCCCAATCGTCTGCTTCCCTGGGAGGATCCTGATGCTCCTGAAAAGGCAGAGGATGAATTGGAAGACAGCGAAGAAGAAGTGAAGGGAGAAACTAATGGAAAAAACCCAGAGGCCTGCTCTGAAGCGGAGTCATCTCAGAAAGACAGCCAGGGAGTCACAAGCAGGAAGCAGAGAAGCCATGTTGTGGTCATCACCAGAGAGGTTCCCCATCTCACTGTGGCCGATTTTGTGAGAGATTCTCTGGCCCATCATGGGAAAAGCCCTGACTTGTATGAGAGGCAAGTGTGTCTGCTGCTCTTACAGCTGTGCTCTGGCCTTGAGCACCTCAAGCCCTACCATGTCACTCACTGCGACCTACGCCTAGAGAATCTACTGCTTGTCCACCACCAGCCTGGCGGAGCCACCCAGAGCCTTGGGCCTGCAGAGCCCAGCCCCACCTCATCTTGTCCCATGAGGCTTATTGTGAGCAACTTCTCTCAGGCCAAGCAGAAGAGCCATCTGGTGGACCCTGAGATCCTCCGGGACCAGTCCCGCCTTGCCCCCGAGATTATAACAGCCACCCAGTATAAAAAGTGTGATGAGTTCCAGACAGGCATCCTCATCTATGAGATGCTGCACCTGCCCAACCCCTTTGATGAGAACCCAGAGCTAAAGGAGAGGGAGTACACCCACGCAGACCTGCCTCGCATCCCTCTCCGCTCCCCCTACTCCCGGGGCCTACAGCAGCTGGCCAGCTGCCTCCTGAATCCCAACCCTTCTGAGCGCATCCTCATTTCCGACGCCAAAGGCATCCTCCAGTGTCTGCTCTGGGGCCCCCGCGAAGATCTCTTCCAGACATTCACTGCCTCTCCAAGCCTAGCACAGAGGAACACCCTGCTCCAAAACTGGCTGGACATCAAGCGAACGCTGCTGATGATCAAATTTGCTGAGAAGGCCCTGGATAGGGAGGCAGGGATCAGCCTTGAGGACTGGCTTTGTGCTCAGTATCTGGCCTTTGCCACTACAGACTCCCTCAGTTGTATTGTGAAAATCCTGCAACACCGTTAATGTGGCCTGGATGCTGCTTTTACTACATTTCCGTGTTCTTCATGATTCCCCCAGTGCTGCCCTATTATACAGTTCAAAGAAAACAGAGAGACAAACCTTCCATCCCTGTCCATAAACAGATGGGTCCATCAGAAGGCTATCACAACTCCAGATCAAGTGACAAGCGGGGTCTGTTTTCACTTTGCAAAATTCAACTGCACAAACATGCAGTTTCCTTCCCTTGGAACATCTTTCATCCCAGTAGTCCCCCAAATGCAGGTAAAAAATGAAAATGCACCTCTTTGAAGGGACAACTCCTGTGGTGTGAACTCAATGAACTGTGGCCAGCTCCTCCATAATTCTGAAGATCACCTGTCTTTCTATAAACAAGTATTTATTCTCACTAGCAATAGTCAGATGTAACCAACCTCTGCCATCATCCCGTAAATCTTACAACAGACTCCTTCTTCCTTTAGGTTATCAATAACTGAGCCTTTGCCAGGCAGACTTGCATCCTTAGCATGAGTCCAGTTTTGGTTACCAGGGACTATATCTTTGTTCCAGCAGACAGTAGAAAGAAAAAGAGCAATCCCTACACTTTAGGTCACAGACCCATTTTCATTTCTATTATCAATAAGTGTGTGCACTGCACGGAGGACAGCTCTAATAGCCTCCCCTCTGCTGCCACTGCCTGGTTCTCCTTCACCTCTGCTCAGTCCCCACTTGTCGATGAAGTTGGTGTTTATCAGCCACTTGCAGCCCATTACAGAGCTGACCCAAGGTGATGTCACCAGTGCCTCAGCGAGGTGGAGCACAGTTCAGAGCTTATAAATAGCTGGCAGGACATGAGGAGATGATTTTCTTGCATGTGCAATTCTCTAGGGGCCACCAGGGAACAGAGTTTAAAGTACTATTCTTTGATTACTGTCAGAGCTGTCAGCGTTGGCAGCCAGGGCTGGCAGTGTCTGATCAGAGTTTCCCCCGAGCAGTAATTGGCCAGCTTCCTTCTATCAGTAGCCAGTGTTAACTAGTCGACCAAATGCTGTAGACAACAGCCCTGAATGAAACGGCTGTCAGCTTAGCTCTAAGATCTGCTTAGATGGCACTGTGAAGCTGGCTACTTGGATAGCCAGAAGGCAGGGGACAGGGACAAGGCCACTGATGAGACGCTGACCCTACCAGAGAGACCTCCTCTGGTATAAGTGGCACATTGCTCCTAGGACTCTCAAATGGCTCTGGAAGACAGCTCACATGAAGGCTGACTACTGAGGCTGTGGCTGATAGCGGCTGGGCTCCCTGCCTGCCATGCTCCTCTCCCGTGGATGTATGTGCAATCTTTGTATCTATTTTTTAGCTGTATATTACATTGTCTATGTTGCAACCTCACCTGAAGCGCGATCTACAGAAACCTTCCCCTTCTTCTCTCTGCACATATTTGCGCTAAGACAAGTGTTCCTTTCACCTGAGTGTGTGTATGTGTGTGTGTGTGCTTGTTGTATACAGAACTGTGAGTATTTGTTTACTTCAACCTTGAAATCCCAAGAGTCACTCAAACGGCATGAGTGTGTGTACAAGTGTGTGCTTCTGTGTGTGTGCACACACATGCTGGAAATAGAAGACAGGCCAGCCTGTGCAGCAGGGTTGACAGTAGTGTTCTCTGCACCTAGGTGGCAAGGAAGCCTGGGGCCCTTATCCACCAGCACAGAATTTTCTTAAAGCCGAGACTGATTGTGCAGTATTACTTAGATGGCATATTAGTGGCCTTGGAAATTGCTAAACTTTAAACATTTGTAATAGCCTTTCAAGTGATTCACCTGTATCAAAGAGGATCAAGAAAGCAGAAGAATGTATTTTATTGTGCTTTTTTTTTTTTTTTAAGAGAATGACATGTGAGGCTCCACATGAGGATGTCCTTGTCCTCCCAGCCAGTAGTATAGGACTCCCAGGAAAGAGGCTGGTGGGCCCACAGAAGAGTCTTGCCTAGGAATGGCCATGGAGTGGGCATGCCGCTGCAGGCCAGCAGTCCACTTCCTCAGTGTCCTGTGGCATGGCTGCACCTTGCCTGGCAGGCTTGTGTTTGGTTCCTCTTAGCATAGCCCATGTGCACATAACTCCTTGCCTAATTATGCACTGAACTGGCAGCACAGACCACTGCCCATGTCAGCCAGCACATTCCTGCAACCCGCGCCCCCCTCCCCCAACAGTTTGCAAATTGAGACATACTTTCTCAATGTCACTCTCCTGGTGCCTTGCCCATGTAAATTTGAATGTTGACTATTTAATGAGGTTACATATTTAATGCAGAATGTTCCCTGGTCCCTCTGTTTGTTCTGTCTCTGGGTATCTTCCCCCCCCACCACCACCAATCTGTTATGACTGTGTTCAGCCTTCTCTTTCATTCCACAGTAGAACAAGCACGGACACCTCACTACCACGGTCTTAGAGCACTGGTGACTGAGCACCTCTTCATACTGCACATAGTTAGTACTATTTCTACATCCATGTTTGTGAAGGGCAAAAGAGGAATGCCAGCTAGTCAGAGAAGGGCCTCAGGCTTCCCAGAGACAGGTGGCTACATTAATTTTCTCTGGGTGATGGCCAAAGAATGTGAGGGGGAGGGAAAGAGGGTGTTACAGGTCAGAACAGAATAGAGAAAAGAACTGCATTTCTAGGTAAGCTGTACAGCAGATGGTCCTCAGAATATTTTTCTGAAATAATTAAATTCAGTCATTCTAACATTATCATAAATATTTTACATTTTCATTTTAATTGTGGTAGGAACTTTTAATTAATTCATCCACTGAAAAGAAATCCTACCCTCTGTAGAACCAACTACACACACATTTAATATATATATAATATATTACATATTATATAACATATAATATATGTTATATATATATATATGACTTTTGGATTGTGACTAGTATAGCACTTTAAGTTTTCTCAAGTAACATCAAGTTATTGTCTTCAATATTGATTGGAAATCTTTTTCTTTTCTATTGAAGTCTTCAGTATAGATCCTTCTGTTTATGTTGAGAGTTTGAACAATTAAGCCCATATTGGAATTTTTCCTTAAGCCACATGAGCATGAGCAATCTCTGACACATTTGGGTGCTAGAGAGAGGCCAGTGGCTAGAGCAACCAAGAACAAGAATGAATGTATCTCAGAGTGCCTTGCTGGAGTGGTAACCTTGTCTTGAAAGGAAGAGGGTCCAGGGTGTTCCACAGAAAGAGTGAGGACTGTGAAATCCTCCTGTGCCCATGGAGGAGAGTCCTTTTGATATGTGCACACTAATATGAAGCACAGAAGCTAATCAGGAAGAATGACAGCAGGATGAGAAAAAGAGCAATTATGAACCTGTAGATCAACAATATGAGAATCACAAATGAGGTCCACCAACCCTAAGGCTGAGTTAGGACTGGAAGCCAGTGGCATAGCAGTGAGTTTCGGGATTTGCCCTCAGAAGGTGGACTGGGTGAATGGAGGGGCACAAACATCCCTCCTACCTGACTACTGATGTTGATGGACGGAAAAGAAACACACCAGGGTTTAGAGTCAGAGCATCTCCATTGCCAGATTAGGCCCGTCTACTTCCAAACGTAATAAATACATCTGTGAACACAGAAATCTCTAAGCCAAGAAGTCTCAACCTGAGGAATGTTAATGATATTTCTGGGAACTACCAAAAATTGTATTTTAAATTTTCTAATATTATAAAATTTTCATGAGAGACCTTTGGGGCCCACTAGATAGTAGGACCCAACATTATCATAAATATTTTTGATAATATTTATCACCCTGCTCTCCAAATTTGAGCTGTAACTACTTTGGAACTGGGAAGTAACCTGACATTTAATTTTGCCGGTAAAAAGCAATTAGGATTCTCCCCTGCCCTTTATCAGCAGTGATCTGGAAAAAAAATACAGACTAGTCCCAGAAATTTGGATGGATTTAGGATCCCACACTGTATTTCCAGTTATTTAGATGTATAAGCATGAACATACTTGGAGAGGGGACAAGCGGAACTTGACTCCCTGGGCCAACACTGGCATTGCTTTTCATCCCCTCACTAGTGGATAAGGATTGAAGATTCTGCCCGGTCGAATCAGTGAACAGAATGGCTACCTGCAAAACTTCATTGGAGCTCATATACTCAAAGGCCCAAAGCTCTGTGCTGAGACAAACCCAAGAGCTGCTCTTACTGGAGAGTGCACTGAAGTCCAGCTGTCCGTGCTCACAGCAACATCGCAGGTGGGGACTCCACGGACCAAAAACGATGCCCTGGGGAAGTCAGAAGAGGCACAATACAAGATCCTAGACAGATTATACCAAAGAAATCAAGCTTTTTTATCCCAATGCTTCTCCAATGAGGAGGCTGAGGTATGACAGATGCCAGGGGAGGGAAATTCACACACATTCCATGTTAGGGTATTCAGCTGATAAATCCATCCTTTAAAAAGCACCTACTTTTTTAAGCAGTCCATTTTGTATATTAGAAGAAGATGATGATGAAGATGGTAGAATCCTGGAGCAGACAGTGAAGTCCCTGGTATCTAGGCAGAAGGTCTTTCAGCCCTGTAGCATGGCTGTGGCTGTTGTCCAGACCTCAGTGTGGGAACTTCATATAATGCTGAGAGCTGACGTTTAGGGGTTTGGGGGGGTTGTTTGTTTGTTTAAAGAGAGTATAGTTTCAATAGGTTTAAGAACTCTTGAGAAATTTCTTAACATATTGTACCATTTTTATAAACCTTCCTGCAGAGGTGTTTACCATTCAGCATCACCATCATTTAGTATTTATAAGTGCCCAGACTGTACAAGGTGCTATACAGCTGTTACACACTCCCTCTCTGCAGCTGTTTGAAATTAGAATAGATGTTGCATCAGCCACTGCTGGAAGCTTTGCCTGCCTAGGTGGGCCGCAGGGGCCTGCATTCCAACAGCCCTCCCACACTTCAGCGCTGAGAGCCTCTTAGTCCCTTCCTGATCACCTCACCCATCCCACCCGTCCCCATGGATTTTTTTAATCAAGGAAGTTTCAGGGAATCAAAAGAAGTCAGAAAATTTTTTAACCTAGCAGAACTACAGAGCTATATATTTTGCTATGAATATTATTGTAGTACAGAAAATCCCCTTTGCCGTTAGTGTGTGCTATAGCGCGTGTGCGCACTCTGGATAACTTGAATGTTGGACCAGCCCTGTGGCTTCAGGGTTGTGTTGCTGAAAGGTGAAACCACACTGCACCAGGAAGCCTGCTCAGATACTACCTGGTTATCCCTTCCCTACCAGTTCTCTAGAGGATTGTGTGTGAATACACTGGGCTGGGATTTTCTGTTGATGATATGTAGGGCATTTTGGCATGAGATGAAGGCAGAAGCAAGATGTCATCCATCTCACTGATTTGAATCATGACGGTCCTCATTCCGATCTCTCTTTAATTCTCCATGGCATTACCCACACTCTATATTTGAAAATCTTGTTTCTTTTACTCTTTGTAGAGCTTAATCTTCCTACTTTCATATTTTAGAGTTGTATTAATCATAACAGGTCCCCTTGGCCAGGCGCCGACCTTTGGTTTGCTGTGGTACTTTGCTGTGTACTCTGTGGCATCATGTTACTGTGTAAATAAATTCATTTTAATATACATTAAAAGCCAGTCTTTGAGCACTTGTCTTTTAACTCTGCCACACAGACATGCTAGTGACGGTTTGATTGCACACATTGTTGTCTTGCCCCCAGGATGGACACATGTCCTTAAAACAGGAAATGGTAGCTAGTAGTCATCATGCCCTCTGTCCTCTGGAACCTCTTCCCCTCCTCTGACATGGACTGCATTTTCTCTTCAGTTGCTCTCCAATCTGAGAAAACTGGGCTTCAAAGAGGAAGTGGAGGCTTTCTGCTTCCCTCAGCCCTCAAAAGACTGCAGGTTTGCTGTGTGAGGTTGCCCCCTGCTGACTAGTCACCTGTAGGCCTCCTGGGTTTGTGCTGCATGTGAGAGGCTTGGTTAACCACCAGATCTGGCTGACTCTCCCAGTGGAAATCACAGAGCTGTGCAGATCATATGAGCAGGGGCAGGGCCTGTACAGCATCATCTACAGAATTCACACACGCCTTTGACCTGTTCTGTAAGGTGCGCGGTCACACGCCTGTTCCTCACAAAGGCGGACAAGCTAATTGGTGGAAACTGCAGAGCAGAGAGAGGAGGCCACCTAGCTTAAGCAGGAAGAGCCAGCCATCAGCAGTGGTAGCAACAGCTGTCACATTATTAGCATGGATGAAAGTGCAAGTGTGCACACTTTAAATTTAGAACACTGTTCTAACCTACAGTGGATGCCGCCTCCAACCCACTGTTTCCTGCTATTCTTCACTGGCAAGCAAGCACTCTGAAATTTGCAGACATTGGGGTGTTTTTTTTTTCAATATTTTTTTAGTTGCAGTGGAATACATATTTATTTATTTTTTTAATGTGGTGCTCAGGATCGAACCCAGCATCTCACAGACATTAGGTGAGCGCTCTACCATTGAGCCATAACCCCAGCCCCTCCAGACATTGTTTTTAAGACATATTCCAGAAGAGTAACTGCCAGGCTCAAGTTTTGTGTTATTGAGGAGCAAAACGCATACTGGTTTGGACCTAAAAATTGTGTTGCCCGGGGCCTAGGAGAAAGGGTCAGCAACAAAACCAACCAGACAGCCTGGGGACACAGGCCCTTCCTGCTGGTGGAGAAGAGCCTAGGGGATGGCCCACACAACATGCAGGTTTCTGGGGGTAAGGAGCTGAAGAGGTAGATTGGGTGGTCTTCACTAGGTTGGGTGGCTACCTCATGAGTGGCCACCCCAGGGCCCTAAAAGGATGTGGGCCAGGGCATGGTGGGACCAGTTTGGGGTTGGCTTAGCCAGACTCCAGGGGAGGTAAAACAGACTAGAGGAAACCTGAGCTCCTGTTCTTCAATGAGACCACTTTGTCTTAAGGGAAGAGAGCCTGGAGAGAACTCCTCTCCCCTCCAGCACCACCGCCCTCCTGACTCGTGATGGAGCACTGACACCTGCATGACCTTTGGCATCACATGCCTGCAGTGACCGCTTTCAACCCCACAAACATTCTTTTTGCTTTGTGTTGTTTTTTTCTTTTTTTAATTGTTTGTTTTGTTGTTTTTGGTACTTGATATGTAACCCAGGGGTACTTTACCACTGAGCCACATCCCCAGCCCTTTTTGTTTTTAATTTTGAGACAGGGTCTCACTAAGTTGCTTAGAGCATCACTAAGTTGCTGAGGCTGGCCTTGAACTTGAGATCGATCCTCCTGTCTTGGCTTCAGGAGCTCCTGGGATTACAAGCCTGCGCCACCACACCCGGCCACACAGATTCTTGATTTCTTTCCTACCTCAAATAAACTGGCAGTGGGAGCTCCCCAAGTGCCTGGGGTTCTAAGTGTGCACCCTCTGCTCCAGGAGCTTTTTGCCTGCTCTCCAAAGCCCATCAAATTATGCTTCCTTTCAAGTGAGCCTGTGCTCCACTAGTAAAGGAGCTTCATTAGTGCCTTAGGAGCTAAGAACTGCAGTTGGCAGATCACAAATTGTCGTTAAGAGCAGCTCAAGGCAATTACAGCTGAAACTTAAAAACTGATTTCATGCTAGGGCGGGGGGCAGCAGGGGGAGTTGGCTCCAAGACCCAACTCTCTCAGATTCACAAACTCTTAAGAGGAAAAAGGCTGCTTGGGCACAACTCAACTTCCTGGAGGTCCCAGATAACAGACCCACATTCCAAGGACTGCTCCTCTGCCCTCTGGAAGTTGCATAGAAGCAGCCAGTGAGTGGCAGTGGTCCAAGTCTAGGTTTAGGAATCCAAGCAGGGGTGCTGGGGTGTAGCTCAGGGGGAGAGTGCTTGCTTAGTGTGTGTGAAGCCCTGGGATCAATCCCCACTCCTGCAAAATTAATAATAATAATAATAATGATAGTAATACAAGTAGGGCTGGGAGGACTTCTATGGAATCCACCAGCAGGAGTATCCGGGGCCTCTACAGAAGGAACTTGCCTGCCAAGAGGGGAGTGGAAGGACTCTGCCCCAAGGGGCAGTGCTCTCTGAAGTACTGTCCCTAACCACCATCTGTTACTCACTAGTCCACGCTTCAGCTGGAATCAAGGGGAGAATGAAAACCTTCATGCCTGCAGTTCATGTTTCCATTCCCCTCTCACCCAAGTGCCTCTTACACTCTCCAACAGAGGTGGGGTACATGGGAAACCTGCCCAGCTCCAGCCTCTGCCTCTCTCCATCTTGATCTAGTCTGACTCCATGGCCACTCCTTGTCAGCCCTCTTGGCAGCGCCCTGTTGATGCCACCTGATACTTAGGACAGAGCCCCACCCCAGGCATCAGACTCAGCTGGCCTCCCCTCTCATAGCCAGGGTCTGAGCCTCTCTGCTTCCTCCACTGCCTCCTCTTGCTCTCTGGTCTCCTGAAGGGCAGGGCAGCTGGCCTTAACCAAGCACTTCTGTGCTCCTGGCCTGGGTGCTTCTCCAGAGCCCCGAAGCTACAGTGAAAGCTAACAGTAAGGAACCCCAAGCAAGTGCTTCCCACAATCTTGCCTCATTCAGCCACCCATGTGATGGCCCCATTCTTCCTATTTTACATATAAGGAAAATGAGGCCCAACCAAAAGTCAGGATTCAAACCTACATGTGTGTGACTTCTAGTGCTGTGCTCTTTCTTTCACTCCATTTCTGCCATCTGTGTGCAACAGAGCAAGGGCAAGGCGGGCAGGAGGACAGTAGGAGGGAGGAGAACAGGAAGAGCGCTCTGGGGAAGGTCATGGGGACCCGCATGAGCTCAGGCCTTTTCTGCTGCTGTTCTTCCACATATTAAGTGCTACGTGCTAGGGGCCTGATGTTGGCAAGGAGTATAGGAGCTACACCCCAAGTCTGACAGGAGGGAGGACAGAGGGGAGTACCCACTGGATGGGAGCCAGAGACAGAAGCTCCTGCCCACTTCTGTGTGCCTGGGGAAAGATTTGGAGGAATGAGACCAGGGTATGGAATAAATTGTTGTTCCCAGAACCAGAGGCCTGTCTGATGGGCCAAACATCTACCTGGGAGACAAAGGCAAGGCCCTCCGGAAGCCCACTCTGAGCCCTGGGATGCTACCAAGCCCGATTTGTACTGGAGCCCTGAACATGGGCTCGCGGGGGGGGGGGGGGGGGGGGGTGGCCCCAGCCTCCCTCTCAGGACCTCTCAGGAACCCGCCTTCATGTTCTACACTGGGCTAGCCAAACCCTCCCTGCTTCCAAAACCAGAAACTTGGTGTGCAGAGATCTTGGGCAAAGGTCCTGACTTCTGTGAACTCCACTCACCTTCTCTGTGGAAGGAGCCCTGTCTGCCCCATCCTATGCTGGTTCTGGGAGAGTGAATCGGCATGTTAATGGTTGTGCAAATGTGCCAGTCTCAAGTGGGAAGTGGAGCCCATCTGAGGCCTGCTGGAGACAAGGAAGGAGAGGGGTGTTGTACCAGTCCAGACTGGTCAGGGAAGAGGGGCCTCTGCAGGAACAGCTGTGACCACCCCAGCAATGCCCACTTTCTGGACCTCCAGCCAACCACTGGCCAGTTCATCCTGCCTTGCTGAGCAGGCAAGGGTCCCTCCTTGGAACACCTGTGTGTCCAAAGGTCAGGCTCATCAGGTGCTTGTCTAAATGAGGAACCACAGGGAGGTCAAAATGGACCCCAAGTAGAGGGTGTAGAGGGGCCGTGCTGAGCCTGGGAGTGTGGGGTGCCCCTCCCCTGGAAGGCGCTTGTCTGAGGAAGGTAGCTGCAGAGCGCTAACCACACTTGCTTAATTTTATCCTCACCACAACCCTCTGAGGTATTTTCTAGAATTATGCACATTTTACTGCTGAGAAAACAAGCCAGAGAGGTTTTGTCTGCCCAGGTCACTAGTAAGGGAAGTAGGGTTTGTCCTCCGTCAGTCTGACTCCCCCTCCCAGAGACCTAGCACTCCAGCCATCCTCCCTCACTCTCCTGCTGTCACCCCCAAATCGCCAGTGGCTTCAAGGTGCCCAGTGAAGAACACCCAGTTGCAGAGTCCTGCTGTCTGGCGACCAGTTGCCCACAGCAGCCTCCGGCCTCTAGGCCGGCCTCTGTGCCTCCCCCATCAGAGACACCTTGAGATTCTCTACATGGTCTCCATCTTTCTTCTCCCTGTTCTTTGGGCCTGTTCAGCTGAGAAGCTTTTGGGAGAAGGCTTTGGGGCAACTCCCCATGGAAATGCTCCCTCACCCACCTGAAGTCACCAACTTGCTCCCCAGACCCAGCTCCTGGCCTGAGGTTTATGGGTGTGCACTCCCCTCTCTGTGAGCCGCAGGGAGCCCCTGGCTTCAGCTGCTTTCCTCCATGTTCAATTCACACGTTCAAGAACTGGCCACAGCTGCTTCTTTGTGCCTGGTTCAAGGCTAGGCTCTCCCACCCAAGAGAGATTATTTGATCTCCCACTTGATCATGTCTTGGTCGTGTCTTCCCAGTGACCCCCATTTTACAGCTGAGAAAACTGAAACTCCGAGTGGGTGAGGAATTGACCCAAGGCTGCACAGCTGGGAAGTGAGAGGGTTGAGATTCCAACCTAGGCCTGGCTGCCTGGGGAGCCAGTTCTGCTCCCCACCAATTCACAA